GATGGTCTGCTTGTGCCTGGTCTCTCTCGCATTCTGCAGTGAACCCCCGGACTCTGCAATCTGCCCTTCAGTTGGTACTGATAATTCCTCTGTCGCTCTTTTTACCTCCTATGATCGCCCCTTATTCTGCCCCTTTTATCTTGCGTTTGCTTGTCTCTCTCTGAGCATCTGGATGTCTCACTGCTGGTGAGGACACTCGGATTCCCGAGGCTGAGCTGGATGGGAATGGCAGAGCAGAAGGGACAAGTGTGAGCAGCGCAGGTGAGGTTGGGAGGCTGAGCAGCAGAGATGAAACGGGCTCTCCAGCTTCAGATAAAGCCCTGGATGGTGGCATGTTAGGATAGGCGGAGAGAAGCAAAATCTGGGAGACCGTGGGTCAACTGCCTCATTGGTCACAGTCACCCTGTACTCAGAGGGAGGGCTGCACCAGGACTTAATCTTAGAAATGGGGTCTCCCACAGAGTTGTGATATTTCCTGGTGTTAGCGTAAATCTTCGGGATTTTTTTTTTTAAAGTGTTGATAGAACACCCAATTTCTTTGTCTCAGGTTTTCTGTAAATGAAAAGTGGTAAGATTTGTTTAAAAATTGTCCTGTAGGAGTGTGTGTGTGTGTGTGTGTGTGTGTGTGTGTGTGTGTATGTGTGTGTGTGTGTGTGTGATATAAACAATTTCTAAATGTTCGAGGGTCTTTTGAGGGTTTGCTGTCAGGGACGTGGTGAGGTTTTTCCTTGCAGTGTGTCTGATGAAGAGTTAAACTGTTTTTAAAATGTGTCCTGTGCGCAGCTCATCTCCTCCGCCATGAAATGCCATTTCACCCTGATTTGATGGAGCCTTTTCTACTTAAGCCTTGCTCCTTCCAGTGTGCTGTGCTCAGCATGGTAATTAGGGCCTTCGGCTGTCAGGGACTCGGTGCTGCTGGCTGCCTCTTGAGAGCTCCTTTCCCAGAACTTGAGTCCTCACGTTTCTCTGGCAGGCTGTGCAGTGTGTGAGAGTGGTAGGATTCGGGGATGGCATGTAACAACCCAGGCTGCGGAGGAGAATCGGCCAGGGATGCTGGCTTTTAATTGAAGTTTAGTTGGAGTTTCAGTGAGGTGAGACTGTTTTGACAGATTTCAGAATGTAATGATAGAAAAATGAAGGGAGGTTCATCAGAGTCACAGTAAATACGGAGCAACAGCACAGCAACTCAGCATGAGACAACAGCCACAAAACCTCAACAACAACAACAACAAAATACCGAGTAATTAAAATTTACATTGTGCAGCCTCTTTCTCAGTGGGTACCTTTCCAAGGGAAGCAGTGATTTTATTGGGAAAAACGCAAACACAATTTTGGAGATGTAAATTGCATGAACGTTTTAGCCTTGCTCATAAACACAGAAAGTTTTCACACTGTAAATATAATCAAAGCACACAATAGTAGAACTCAGACTTGAGAAAGATCCCCAAAAGACAGAAAGCTCCTCCGATCCCTTTCCCTCTGCTACTCCCCTTCCTACCCCTTCTCTGCATTTGGAAAAGGCCGGGTGTGATTTCATGGTCCCATTTCTGAGGATATATACCCTTCCTGTTTATTCTACTGGCTAGAAAGGACAATGGCTTTTGACTCTTCCTTTCCTCTCCCATTTCCCTTCGCCTTTCTCTGTATATAATGTGGAGGTTAGTTGGCTGAGAGGCCATGGCTAAGTGTTGAATAATGTGTAGCATCAAAAAGATGAAGAAATTCACCTAAATGTTATCAGAATCTTCCATTTCCCCACTTCAAACATGGACCTCAACTCCACTATAGACAGCCCCAGGAGTGAGCATAGGAAGTTTGCCTGAAATAGAAGCATGCTGAAGACATGTGTGGCTCCTGCCTTGGCTGCCTCTTGCTGTCGTGGTGGTTTTGCATAGAGGAGCCCTTTACTTCTTTGGACGATAATTTCCCTGTCAGGTTTTGCCTGAAAGAACTCCTGGGTGCCTTTTGAATCAGACTTGCTTCGATATTGTGCCCTGTGGATCCACCCCAGTGTATCTTGAGCCCTGAAGATCCAAGCCACTAGAGTACCTTTCTTGAGGTACCCTTCTTGAGTTCTCAGGAGGATTGTTGCAGAGAAGACACAGGGGGGTCACTCTGCTCCGATTATTCGGGCTCTGACTCAGGAGTGGGACTCCCTGAAGTCCATTGTCTGGTCCTCACTTTGGTACCTTCTCTTGGTGGTCAGCTGTCTCTATCCTGGTCATCAGGTTTACATTGCCATTAAGGAGAACCAACGCCATAATCCTATGTACTCCATCACCAGTGGGGACAGAAGTGCTTTACAGTGCATCTGATACACGTTTCTCTTTGTGTGCCCTTCCTAAAGTAAGGCACTGGGAACTTAGAGGGCAGTAGGGAACATCATTGGAAGAGCCGTTTGTCCCCTATATACATCACAGTGAGGGAAATTAAAGTTTTGTTTTCAGAGAACTTTATCCTTTTTTTGAAATTAAAATATAATTATATTGTTTCCCCCTTTTCCCCTATCTTTAATCCTTTCCTTGTATCCCTTCCTCTCTCTCAAACTCATTGCTGCTAATTCTTTAATTATTGTGTGTGTGTGTGTGTGTGTGTATTCCTAAATATATAGATATGACCCGCTCAATCCATATAATGCTATTTGTATGTATATGCCTTCAGGGATGACCACTTGGTATGAGATTATCAACTGGTGTGCTCTCCTTTGGGGAAGACTATGTCTCCTACTTAAGCATTCTTGGTCCCTCTAGTTCTCTGTCTGGGTGAGGACCCCCCAAGACTTCCTCTTCCATGTTTGCCTGTCTGTCACTGCTGTCCTTGTACAGGTCTTGTGTAGGCAGCAATGTCGTTGAGAGTTCATGGGCGTGGCTTCTCTGACATCTCTAGGAAACCTTGTCAGAGCAGACTTCCTGATCCTCTGCCTCTTGCTCTGTTTCTGCCCCCAGAGGAGGCTTCTTAACGGACTTAAACCTGAAGTGTAATTTGAAGTGTTTTCAGTAAGTTGTTGTACCTGGGTAATGTGAGGCTGCATTTTCCCTTCTAATTGTTTCTAAGGTAGAAAATAGGAAGTGTATTGAAAGTTTAGTGTTTGCCTTGTCAGCGTGTCCTCTCAGAAGAGCAGTTGGGGACTTGAGTGTAAGGGAAATGGTTGTGGGTTTGAAGATAAAATTTCCAACTGAGACCACTAATTCTTCCCAGTGCACACCAGAGGGGCCATTCCATGGGCCCACGAAACCATGGCCTGGCTGAGACTTTTCTATGTAGCCGTTGGTGCTCTTTCCTCCAAGCTTCTGTTTCTCAAGCAAATTAGCCTATGCCTGCTTTAAAAGAGTTGGCTTATTTCAAGGACAGTGCTTATGATTGGGGAACATCTGTCAGTGAGAAAATTTCTAAGCTTGACATCACACTCTAGTCTATGCTGTGGTATTTTATGGGTTTTTTTTTTTCAAAGTCATGTCAATTTCTTGGGCCTCAGTTGGCAGGGGCAAACAAATCACTATGTCAGAGGAAGTTACAGTCACCTGTGAGACTTTTTCACATCTAACATACTGACCAGAAGTGAGGCGGCATCCATCTCTGTAGATTAAGTAGATTCTGATAAAGTACATTCATGTACCTCAGAATGTCAGGAAGTGTCCTGGTGTGGTAATGAATATAATACGAGAACTTGGGAAGTAGAGGCAGGCAGATGCTAGATTTCAGAGTAGCCTCAGCTGTGTAGGAAGACCATTTCACAAAAGACAAGTTTAAATAAGAGGACCACAGAAAGGAAATGCATTCATTCCTTCCTTAGGTTGACATCAGCTGACATGCATATACAGTATATGCATGTATATATATACACTATATACTGTGTATACCCAGCTTGAAGTGACACAGAGACTTTGCACATTGGGTGTGTTCGAAATGGGGGGATAGTTCTGGGTGTTGAATTGCAGTTGTGAGGAGGCTAGCATGAGGAAGCGCATATACTGAAAATACCAGGGTCAAGTATATCTACTTTGAGGAAACTGTGGGTGAGCTATGACCCAATGGATGCTTTAGAATTAGCTACAGAAACTACAGAAGGCACAGATGACGTTTCTGGAGGAAAAGGAGTTGTGAAGAAAGGGCAGTGGGTTTGATTGACAGAGCACAAAAATGTCCCATTCTGGTATGTCACACTATGCTGTGGTTGGCACCCTTGAATTACAGGACCCACAGAATGACTTCCCCGGGACCGCAGGCTGCACACCCAACAGTAGATGCTCATTGCTTTTATGTTCCCATAAAACCACGTCCTCTGCTCTTAGCTGTGTAACCAGCGGTAACTAAACAGAGTCTGTGGAGCTTAACGTTTTCTCCAATCAGCTCTGACCCTGGGCCACCACCTCAGAGCTGCCTACAGTGCAAGGGTGACAGCAGAGCAAGTGGCTCTGGTGAGATCCGACACCAGCATACTTGGCAGTGCCCAGAGGATTGTGGCTGCTCTTATTTGGTCTTTAGTTTTAGGCTCACCCTGCCTCTCAGAGTAGGATTTGAGGGCTGTGAAGAACTAGGCTTCTATTTAAGCTGTGGTAACCGCCATACCCATCTGGTCCATGGCGTGTATTTCACGGGTAGACTGGATCTGCTCTGTGGTAAAGTCAGTGATTTCCACACTTGAATGAAGCCCAGGGTGGATGGCTCTCAGAACTGTGGAGTTGTTTTGTGTGTGTTTCTAGGAACTTCCCCACTTAAATTAACATAGTGGGAGAGCTCTGAACAGAGTCTGTGGACATGCATATGTATGTGGCTCTGCCTGCCAAGAAAGGGGAGGCAGGCACAGTGAGAACTGCCCAGTGAGCATTGGCCATCCAGGCAAGCGCCTCATCAGCACTCCCTGCTTTACACCTTCCCTTAGGCCAACATTGCGTCCTCCCCTGTCCTCCAGTCCCACTAATTTGGAAATTTGCTTGTCATCCTCTTTGTGGCCATCCTTCCATTTGATCAAGCCTAATTTGTTTTTCCTTTGCTTTTAGGAGAGTAGATCTGGAGAAAGCAACAGCTGTGTAGAAGACATAATTCGGGTAAGGATACTCTTTAAAATCTTATCAATGTGTCAGCCACGCACAGATTTCCAACAGAAGGGAGTCCTGTGGCCATATTACCCAAGGGATCCTTCATGGCTTGCCGTTTGATGTTTACCTGGTCTGAGGACGCCCATCTGAGTCACCTAAGTGACACCTCTTGGAGTGGCCATTCTTCTCAGGGTTTTAGTAGCTCACTCAGGCCTGTTGCCTGTGGTACCCTGAGGTGACGCTAAAGTGATCAGCTAGATGACCAAAAAAAAAAAAAAAAAAAAAACCCCGCAGATGTTAGGTGAAGAATATAACAGGACTCCCATCTGTATGCACCCGTTTACCACCTGCGCATCCTTTAGTGCTATGTTCTGAGACAGGCCAGGGCTGCCTTGTGATTGTTTGTCTGAGCTTCATTAGAATCAGAAGCTCCTGACTAGAGATAGTGCTGGAGTCTGGAATGTATTTCTATGTGTGTTGCACATTATTAATTAATTTCTTTGGTGCTCTGTTTGCCCATCCTTCCCACTGCCTTCCTCAAGCCAGTTTCTCACAGAGACGGACAAGCTGGGCTTTTGCACTGTGTGTGTGTTTTCCCGAGTGTTCCAACTTATAATCAAGAAGCTGCCATCAACCCGTAGTTTTACTTCACTCGTATTTTTTTCAGGGGAAATCACCTAAAAATTTACAGTTCTTAGAAATCTGATATCACACTGGGCAAAACACCAAAATAAATTATGCTAGGTGGTGTAGTCATTTCCTGTAAAGAGGAGAACATTAACATGCTTCTACCTTTTGGACATCCTGTGTATTTCTTCGCGAATTACCAACACACTGCAGTAGTATTATATAATTACTTGACTTACAATTTATACTTTCCCATTCTGTTCTCAAAAATGGATATTTTTCTTCCCGGAAAGTGTTACTTCACAAATAAATTTTTGTAAATTCACAAGTTGGTCAGAATAATGAAATTTAGTATTTTTTAAAATCATAGTGATTTTCTCTTCTGAAGAAAACTGTTTTTTAAAACATGAAGCTTCATTTCTGACCATTAATTATATTGAGTCCATATTTCATTTTTAAAAATCTATATTGCCTGTTTTGTTTCCGTTTAAACAATGGATCGTATACGATACTGATAAACCTCTCCTATTTTCCTCTTGTTGGGGCTGAAGACTCTTTGGGGCACTCTCCTTTGGTTGGTTGAGTTGTCTATGTTTGTCTACATTCTCCCCCCGTGTGATTGGACATGCCTCCATGTATCATCTCTTGTTCGTTCTGAAGAAATTTGTCGTTTGTCATCCCTTCTCCTTTTGTCTTCCTCCTTGCTCTCCTCATGGGGTCTCCCGGAACAGCCTGGAATCCACGGTTCTGCCTCCACTGCCCAATTGCTGGAATTACAGGGTTGTGCGCTCTCATGCTCAGCCCTGGCCCTTTTTGTTCTTACCTGTAGACAGGACTTGAAAGAAAGATGTAAATAATTTTTTTTATTTATCTTTTTTTATTTTATGTGCATTGGTGTGAAGGTGTCAGGTCCCCTGGAACTGGATTTTCAGACAGCTGTGAGCTGCCATGTCGGTGCTGGGAATTGAACCCGGGTCCTCTGGAAGAGCAGTCAGTGCTCTTAACAGCTGAGCCATTTCTCCAGCCCCAAGATGTAAATAATTTATGCATCAAAAAGTTACACTTTAGGAAGTTGAAACTCATTTTAAGTAAAGCAGATTCCTTCCGTGAAGTTTAGAGCTTTGACTTTTTCTAAAGAGAACTTGGGAAAGCCTTCCTGTCTCCATCCACCCCACTCCTAATCTTCCTACAACAGTGGCTCACAACCTCCCACTTGGTGCTGCCCCTGCCACAGCCCTCTCTCCATGCACGTGTGGCACAAAGAAGAAGACTGGAGCCATGGAGTAGATGAATTAGTGTCCACATATGAGGCTGAAGTCTCCGCACTGGCCCTGTGGGGAGGGAGCTGTATGAGAAGATAGTGAACTAATTGAGCTCTCCTCCTCTTCAAACCCTTGAGACGTCCCGTACTAGAGAAATGGTAGTGGTGTCAGTCATGGGTGGAATCCCTTACACCAAGTCCCACACTCTTCAGGTGTTGCTGGTGGTAGTTGGTAATGGAGGGGTTACCAGAGGATGCAGTGTCCCCAGTGGGACCTGGCCTTTTTCTTGCTGTCCCTTGCCTCACTCAGTTGGTGACTTTCACAGTCATTTTTCCCTCTAACACAAGCATGGGGCTCCTTTTCACTAGTAGTCGAGCACACTTACTGCGTATCTGCCACACACCAGCACCCCTCTGAGTCTGAGGAAGGGAGTGAAAGAACCCTCCGAGCGAACACCATAAAAGCCACCGTGCCACGCTTGCTTTGAGTCTTGGCTGTGGTTGGTTGTCCCTTTGAGGTCTGGTTCCCATGGATAGCCTTTGTAATGCCCAATTTTCTTCATACTTTTTCTGCTCTGTGACTAACTTGGGGAAACCTGATGTGGTCAAGGCCGTCAGGAGTACTTGTTTGAAGCCTCGTTGTTTAAAGGGTAGTGCTCTCTTGTGAAGGAAGCAGAAGGCCTTAAAAATGGCTCAGAGTGATGGCAATCAGAGTTCTCATGTCCTTTCTGTGTGGAAAGGCATCTAAAAAAAACATTAGTGGGCTAAATAGACGTGGCCCCTTGTTCTGATGGAACTGTCTGCCTGCCAGCAGAGGCGGGCACTAGTATTCCAGAGACCCAGTTAGGAAGGACATTACACCAGCTGTGACAGATTCTCAGGAATTGATGTGACCTTACCATATGCTGTATGACCTTTCTTGTGGTTGAGGCTGGTCTCACTGGTAGTTACAAGATAAATAGGATGTGGAGTGAGGAATGATGGGGGGGGGGCAAGCAAAGGAAATGGCAGAGTTCAGCCTGTCAGACAGAGCACTGTGAGGACCAGGTAGACCAAAATGACTAGAAAGGTGGTGGAAAGAGATAGGAGGGGCTAGATGGTGCTGGCCTTCTGGGCGTGTATGTTCAGGTCCTGTGGAAGGGAGCCATGAGGTGGTATGGTGACATTGGCCATTTCCGTTTCCTGTTCTGACAGCCATGGAAGGTGAAGGGAAGAGGTAAGCAGAAGTAGCAGTCAGGATGGAAGCCATTGGAAGAGTGTAGAGCTGAGCTGCTGGGAGGGATGCTCTCGGGTGAGCAGTGGGGGCTCTTAGGATTACTCCTATTTTAGGAGGAGGGGGAAGTAGGAATCCATTTATAGACATACGAGTTGAAGGGCATTTCGGGCATCTGAAGAGCAGAGACGAACAGGTAGGTGAGTGTAGCTCACAGCAGACGGCTGAGCTATTTGGTAACACTGCAGATCTGCCACATTTTCCAAGAGAGAAGCTAGAAACCAGGGAAACAAGAACATAAAGGCCCAGGAAGGAAATTCCTCCTGTAAACAGAAGTGAGACGTAAGTGGAACACATGACATGTAAAGGCTTAGACGGATGGGGAGTCAGGGCCAGTTCTCAGCCATCAGAAGGAAGGAAGCTGAGGCATTCTGCTGTAGCAGGGATTCCCGTTTCCATGTGACGGCAACATGAACGCGCCAGACCGTGCCTTGCGTCAGCTGCCATCCTCTCAGGTTTATGGCTCACACTGCCAGCAGCATCTTCTCCCCTCCTTTAGCTTTGCTGAGGTGACTGTTTTCAAATCATTTGAATGTTACAAAACATTATAAAGTACAATTACTTTTTATTCTTACTGAGAGAATTTTAATCCTGGGACCTAATGAATCTGTGCATAATTACAGAATTCTCTTATCCAGGGGCGAAATTATCACCGAGTTCTGTGGAGATGGGCCGTAAGTGCTTGAGGCCCTCGTGGCTGACGTGTGCTCACCGTAGACAGTTCTGCAAGTTGTCCTGTATTTCCCCATGGGAGACTCAAGTGGTGGAATACCTTGGTGCCTTTTGTAGCATCATCCATTAACATAGAATGGCATTACCATTTGTTCAGCCAATAAAAGCCGTTTACAGCATAGTGGAAGAAGTGCAGGGCTAGGATCCAGGATACACAAGGTTTATACGTGAAGGTTTTAGATTACGCATTGCTGACGGCACCCCCACAAAGTGCTGTGCCTTTATAATAACAACCAAGGGGCCAGTGCTTGAGATTGTGGTTTGAATTTAGAGCCTATTTGAGTGTAGCATCTGAACAGATTCCCTTCTTGGCTATCATCTTTACTCACTAATTTAATTCTAGTGTGCTGTGAGGTACCCATGGTGGGGATTTGCGTAGAGTTGCATACTTCTGTTAATATGAAGGGGTAAATGGTACTTGTTTAGATTCTAGGGATTCATTTCCTGACATTTTAATGGAATGGCCTTCATGCGAGTGCAGGAAAATCAATTTTTTCCCGTAGTTTTCCAAAAGCTGAAGATCCCGCCACACAGCATCTCTGGAGAGGTTTGTGCATCACGAGCAGTGTCTTATGGAGTGCACATCAATACAGCCTGTCACATGGCCAGACTCCGGGTGGCGGGACAACAGAGACCTTGTGCTCAGACATCTCCGTGCTCCTTGCCCCAGATGAAAACATATTAGCTACTCTGTGCCTACTAGAACATGAGAAACAAAGAGATGCCTTGTTTTCAGTGGCTTGCCTGGGTCACTTGGAGAACTGGCTCAGGTCACATCTTCACTGCAGGCCAGAGCGGCTTTTTATGAAAGTTCGTACTGTTTCTTTTATAATATTTGATTTGTTTCCAACACTAAAGATTTAATTCTTGGCAAATTAAAACCAACCAATAACAAAAATCAACCCAGGGAGACCTGTCAAGAAGTAATATTAATATATTCCATTATTTATTATAGAAAAATAAGCCAGACAGTAGCATTGTACACTTTTAATCCCAACGCTTGGGAGGCAGAGGCAGGCAGATCTTTGTGAGTTTGAAGCTAGCCTGGTCTACAGAGAGAGTTCCAATACTGCCAGGGCTACAAAAACAAAAGCAAAAGAAAAAAAAGAAAGAAAT